GCAAGCCTAAGACACTCGTAGGCGTGGAGAAATCCCTTCAGTTCTCCAGCGATGGCCAGCTGACCCTCATCTATAAGGGGCACATGGATATACCTACAGGTAGGGTTCACCTGAGTAGCCCCATCAGGCTGACCAGGGACAAGGGCCAATGGTGTAAAGCTTTTCATGGGTGAGGGACCAGTGGCCTTTGAGAAATGAGGGACAATGTTTGATTAATTTATATCGATTTTTCTGCTGAATCGGTGGTTCTGCACGAGCTGTGGGACTATGAGTCTTTGTCGACGTGTCTTTTCCTAACCTGTCATTGGATACCGTAGTCCATAGTCTCCATGACCCGGGGGTGATGGTGCTCTTTTATTTGCCGATATCCCTTTCACAGGAACCAAAGACACTTTCACCATCAGTTTTGTGTGCGACCAGAACGTGAGCCCCGGGATTCTGAGTTTCGTCCGGGAGGAAATGAACACCGGCGAACACGTGACCCACGATGTCCTGTTTGAGTTCCGGACCAGCCTCGTCTGCTTACCCGCCCCTGTGGACTGCCACGTCAACGGTTAGGAAACAGGCATTTATTCTGACCCTCCACCTTCTCTGTTGCATATTGCTGTATTGCTATTTGTCTTGCCTTTGACAAGATAACCCTACCGATGGCGTCTGTTGCTTGACTGTTTTCGCCCATTGTGTGCAACCGTGTTGTGCTTGCAGATCACCACGGCAACGAGTATGACCTGGGTGACCTCAGCCGAAGCGACAGGCCCTGGGTGGCCGTGGACACCTCTGCGCAGGCGCAGTCGCAGAGGTTCTACATCAACGTCTGCAAGCCGCTGCCTCGGGTAGACGGCTGCTCCGGTGGGTCACACAGAGCCACTCGCCGGCATGCATTCGTCACTGGCGGGACGTCTCTTAGCACTGCATGGCCAGTTCGACGTGTCACTGCAGTGTTTCCCCTAGGTTTACAGCTTTGGGGGGGGGAGTGCTGACCTGTGTGTGCGCGTGCGCATCGGTGCGATACAGAGAGCAGAGGACAATTGTAAACGTGCGACCGTTTAGAGACAAAAATGATAAGCTGCCGTTGAGGGGGACGGGGCGCCCCTCTAATATAATGGTAGGGGAAACACTGCTCTGTGTCAACGAGGGAGGGGCTTACGTTTCATTTCTTTAACCAATCACAGGCTTCAGTGGATGACATCATCGCATTAGTTAAAACCAGTGTTTTCTGCTAAGCAGCAAGGTGCCCAGGTTTGTAAACCCGTTTAATTGTGTGCGCCTTTTGTTAAGGGACGTGTCATGGACACAAAACATAGGAACATGCTTACCTGCGAAGACACTACGGAGCAGGGTAAGGGCGTGTCTTTATTTCTCGATGATGATGAGGATGATGATGATTATAACATCTGTAATAAAAAGAAAGGCTTGAGCTGACAACCTTCTGATCACACACTTGGTACCTTGGATCCGTTCGGCCACACACCACCCCCGGCACGAAGGCTGGAGCTTAAAAATGAGGGAAAACGGGGACCAATGTGGTGATGTCATGCAATGGAGACTGTGATTGGTTACAGAAGCGAAATGCAGGTCATGTCATACGATGGAGACTGTGATTGGTTACAGAAGCGAAATGCAGGTCATGTCATACGATGGAGACTGTGATTGGTTACAGAAGCGAAATGCAGACCCCTCCCTTGTTGACCCAGCAACACGTCAAACTTTGCAACCAATCAGGTTCCATCTCTTGCCCTGTCAGAATCCCAACATCAGCAGCAACTTACCCTTCTCTTCTAGAATTTCGCTCTGGGATCAATAAAGTGAATCTGATTGTAGTTCTTTTTGAGCCCTGCTTGTGCCCGATCACAATGCGTGACACTGATTCGATGTGACTCCCCACCCTGCAGGGGGAGCCCTGGGCGCCTGTGGCAAGCTGGGTGACAAGTTTGTGAACCTGGGCTTCATGCAGTCCAGCCCCCAGGTCGCTCCGGATGGCTCCATCACAGTGGTTTACCTGAACGGGGATCCGTGTGATAACAGCCATTACTCCACCCGCATAATCTTCGAGTGCGACAGCAGCCCCGTGAGTATGTGGCGCTTGCAGCCAGCGCCCAGGCAGTCTGCACCGTTACGGTCTGTGCTCCAGAGTGCGGCACCCTTGATGGAAGTCTGTGTGGAACACTTATTCGTGGCTGCATCTGTTGTTGTAATTATTATTATTATTATTATTATTATTATTATCATTATTAATAATATAATATAATAATAATTATAATAATAATAGAATAATAATACAATTCAGGGGGCGGCATGGTGGTGCAGTGGTTAGCACTGCCTCACACCTCTGGGACCCGGGTTCGAGTCTCCGCCTGGGTTACATGTGTGTGGAGTTTGCATGTTCTCCCCATTTCGTCGTGGGGTTTCCTCCAGGTACTCCAGTTTCCCCCCCACAGTCCAAAGACATGCTGAGGCTAGTTGGAGTTACTAAATTGCCCATAGGTGTGCTTGTGTGAGTGAATGGCGTGTGAGTGTGCCCTGCGATGGGCTGGCCCACCGTCCTGGGTTGTTCCCTGCCTCGTGCCCGTAGCTTCCAGAATAGGGTCCGGACCCCCCACGACCCAGAAGGATAAGCAGTTTGGAAAATTAATGAATGAATAATACAATTCTTTTTGTCACTTTGTAACATGCAAAAAAACATTAGACATTAAGATATACGGTAACAATTTACTTGAGAGCATATAGTATTATGCTATTACGTATGTATTAGGGGTGTGCAAAGCAGCCGGTATTTGTATCTGTATTTGTATTTGTTGAGGGGGG